AACTAACATAAATTTCATGGCAGGATCCAAAGAAAGTCCACATTTTCTTATTTTCTTATCTCAGTGAGGTACCGAATCTTAAAATCCGAGACAATATTTGTCGATTATTTAATAAATAAGAAAGATTAAAAAAATTACATCAATAATGTTTGTCAAATAATTTCACTTTAATGTTGTTATCAATTCAAACGCAACAACTAAAATAAATCTTTAATTTATCAATAGAATCTGAAATATAATACCTTAATCGAAGTAAGAATTAGCTTGTCGTGAGCAAGAAAGAACATCACACAGCAATTGAAAAGTCTCAAGGGTGTGCCGCCAAAGTTGACTTACCAAAAAGAATGCAAAGTCACGTAACAATTGAAATGTCCAAGAGTGTGTCATCCAGCTGACATAAGATTGTAAAAGAATAAAAAGATTTGATAACTAAACAGTAAGGATAAAATTAACAATAGGATTTCATTGATATAAAACAAAAATGACAAAATTTAATGGATGTTTGAAGGGAAAAGTAATACTTTTTGGTAATTTTTTCTTTGTTTTATACCTAATCCAAAACCCATTTCCCAATTGACAATGGTTTTAGTATTAGTACTATAACGACATAATATGGGGGCTAATTAGGAAAACTAATTCAACGCAGTTATTGATTAATTGTGAATTCTAATACTAGATGGAGTCTATTTTTAATCTAATAATCATAATTGATTAGATTCCTAAATAATGACCAAACAATTTTTTTATTTATTATTTTGATAAAAATGCGACCTATTGTACGGTACATATGTTGTCTATCCCACAAGGCAATGGGATTAGAGGGAAGAATCAATCATTAAAGTTTACGTTGTATTTGTGTTGGCTTAATTTTTTTTTTTGGGGTCAATTATTATTGGTGAAAAAGACGACAAAAATCAAACTCGAGATTTAAAGTTAAGGACCCGACTACTGTACATCAATTGAGAATTTTGGTACCATACCAAAATTTAATGTCCACCGTTGATCTATGGTAGACCAAAAGTGAAGCGTTGATTAATGTATCTTTTAAAAAAAAAATTGACAAAGAGTGAACCGGCAACTTGTTTGGTACCGGTTTGGTAGACATGACAAGACATTGAAATGACATGTCAGATGGTATTAGTAGAAGGAGAAGACTACGGTACTTCTAAGGGCATTTTCGGTACCTAATCGAAAATTCCAAATTACAACATTAATGGTATATTTACTAAATTGATGGTATATTTACATCGATTGGTAGACAAGGCAAGACATTGAAATAACAAGACAAGACATATTTTTGAACTGTCATTAAGTTAATTGAAGACAAAATTACAACATTTGTGAGAAGTTTAGGACTATAGTGAACAAAATTACAACATTAGTGAAAATTTTACAACAGTAGTGAATAAAATTATAAAATTTGTGGGAATATTTACCAAATTTGTGGGAGATTTACAACTTTAGTGGTATATTTACCAAATTTGTGAGAATATTTACAACTTCAAAGGTATGTTTACCAAATTTGTGAAAATCTTTACAACTTCAATGGATTCAAATATTTACAACTTCATGGGGAGATTTGATCGATCACAAACTTACTGCTTTTCAAAAAAATTTGGGGGAGACTACTTCAACCTTGCGTTAGAGCACAAGATCTTAGGATAGATCGCAAATATTTTGAAGATAAAAAAAAATAATAATTTTGATATATTTCGAATAATAATTTTGATATATTCTAAAAAATAATAATAATTGCCACTTTTATTTACTACTTTTATGGGAATATTTATAATTTGAATAAATTCTTTATGGGAATAATTACAACCTCAGTAGTATGTGTTACCAAATTTATTTGTTTAATTGATGTATCAAAAATATGTTTAATAAAAATTCAATTTTAATATTTTTTAAAAATTTATCCAATTTATTTTTTAAAATAAATTTAAAATTGAATTTTTATTAAACACATTTTAAAATTGAATGAAAAATCGGTCAAATTGTTGTTTGATCTATCAAATTCTTGTGATAGATCATAAACATTCATAAAAATTTTTCCACTATTGTTGTAATTTTTTCTACTATTGTTGTAAATTTTTCACTAATATTGTAATTTGTACAACTATTGTGGTAATTTTTTCACTACTTTTATAAAATTTTCATTAATGTTGTAACAGAACAATCATAAAGAGAGAGACAGAAAGTCTATGATCGATCAAACATATATTTGATCGATTATGGACTAGTAATGAATCTATTGAAGTTGTAAAAATTTTCACAAATTTAGTAATTTTGTTACTATATTGAAGGAATATTTATAACTTGAATGGATTGTTTAACAAATTTGTTGAAGTATTTACAACTTAGATGGATTGTTTACCAAAGTTATGAAAATATTTACAAGTTCAGTGGTATTTTTGCCAAATTTGTGGCAATAATGACAACCTCAATGGTATGTTTACAAAAGTTGTGGGCATATTTACAACTTCATGCTTTAGTAGTAGTTCATGATCGTTCAATAAATATGCATGATCGATCAGAAAACACATGCTTAATTTATGAATATTTTACAACTAGTCCAAGATGATATACAGCTTCAATGGATCCTTTACCACCTTTACATGAATATTTACAAAATTAGGTTTGTGGAAGTATTTACAACTTTGATGGATTATTTACCAAATTTATGGAAATATTTACAACTTGAGTGGTATCTTTACCATATTTTGTGAGAATAATTACAATCTCAGTGGTATGTTTACAACATTTGTGGGAATATTTACAATTTCACTGGATGCTTTACTAGTTTATGATGGATCATTAAATATGTATGATCGATCAGGTGCTTAATTTATGAATATTTTACAACTAGTCTAAGATGATATACAACTTCAATGGATCATTTACCACCTTAATGAAAATATTTACCACTTTAATGGAGTGTTTATGAGAACATTTACAACCTCAATGGTATGTGTTGCCAAATTGGTGGGAATATTTACCACTTTAATGGATTATTTACTAGTTCATGATCGATCACTAAATATGATTGATCGATCAGAACACAAAGTTGTGCTTAATTCATGAATTTTTTACAAATAATCCAAGGGATATACAACTTTAATGGATGATGTACTACTTTTATGGTAATACTTACAACTTTAATGGATTGTATATGGAAATAATTACAAGCACAATGTACGAATTTTTTGGGACTATTTACAAGTGCAATGGATTGCTTACAAATTTAATGGATCATTTATCACTTTTATGGGACTATTTATAATTTCAGTGGTATATTTACCAGAATTGTAAAAATATTTACAACTTCAATGTATTCTTTATCAGTCGATGATCGATCATTACATGTGATCAATCGATCAGAACATAGTGTTTAATTGATGAATATTTTACAACTATTGCAAGGAGATATACAATTTCAGTGGATCGTTTACCATGTTTATGGGAATTTTTACAGGTTCAATGGTATGTCTAATAAAATTTGTGGAAATATTTACAACTTTCTTAGATTCTCTAGTAGTCATGATCGATCATTAAATATGATCGATCGATCGTAGCACACAGGTATGTGGTTAATTAATTTATGAATAATTTACAGCTTATCCAAGAAGCTATACAACTTCAATGGATTATTTACCACTTTGATGAGAATATTTACAACCTCAATGAATTCTTTATGGGATTATTTATAAATTCAGTGGATTGTTTACCAAATTTCTAGAAATATTTACAACTTCAATGGAATTCCTACTATATTTATGGAAATATTTACAACTACGATGAATTATTGACGACATTTATGGGAATATTTACAACTTTTGTGGATTGTTTACCACATTTGTGTAAATAATAACTAGATAAAAGGTTTTGTTACTATAATGAAGTTAATAATTAGAAGAGTTATAATCTCTTTGACTAGATTTGTGAATAATTTTTACGACAGTTGTACTTAACTAGTAAATAATTTACAAATTAATGGAAGAAGATATACCAGTTTTGTGGATAAAATTACTAATTGGAGAGGAGTATTTACTAATGTCATGGAATTTGTTTTTCTACGTAATAGTATGTGATCGATCAGTAAATATGATCGATCGATCATTTACAAGTAATCCAAAAATATATATATCTTCAATGGATCATTTACCATTTTGATGGGAATATTTACAATTTCATTGGATTGTTTCCCATTAGTCTGGAAATATTTACAACTTCAATAGTTTTTTTACCACAGTTATGAAAATATTTACAAATGCAATGGAATGTTTACGAAGGTTGGAAAACATGATCGATCAATATATATTTGTGATCGATCGAGTTCAATTACAAATTTGATCGATTAGATTGGTTAAGGATCGATCAATGCTTCCAAGCACTTGTATTACACTGGATTATTTACGAATCTTGAATAACTTGATTGATCAATATAAATTGTTGATCACCCCAGATACATACTAGACCAATCAGACACATACTAGACCAATCAAATCAACTGTCCAATCTTCCATCAACCATTCTAACCTCTCCCCCATCATCCAAATCCTTGCCTTTGGTCACAAACCACAAGTCTCTTTTTCCTTATAGTACCCAGTCCAAACTGATCCTGATGAAGAATCAATCTGCCAAACTTAACAGCCAGATTGGTATAAGAAGATAACTCAGTAGATGCTCCCATTTGAACAGCAATAGAGGCCAAAAACTTAGCTACAACATGTCAACGTTTCTAACTACTAGCCAGTATATTTAACAACCATCCACCCAACATCTACAACACCCTTGCCAAAATGTCAAATATTACTATAAAACAAAAGATTCACAAAAATAAAATACACAAAACCAATGTGTCATTTGTTGATGTACTCTTTAAAGTCTTTATAAAAACAATCTAATTTTGACTCCAGACGCTGCAACGACCCTTTCGTTTCATCCTCAAACTTTTCAAATCGAGCCTCCAACTTTTCAACCATTTGCTGAAGTGTTTGTCAACCCTCACTAATGCCAGCATTAGAACCAACTTGACTAGTCCCAGCTTGACTACCCATAACCTGAGGCACCGCTGTTGCCTGCTTCACACGCTTGCCCCGTTTCACACCTAGAATAGCTCCCACACTTTTATTAAGTATACCCATATCTAGTGGATTAATGGGATAAATAAAAATGTCATTCTGCTGAAATTCAACCCCATTATGCTTCAAAATCTTGGAAACTAATATTGAAAATGGAAGACATGGTCTGCCATCCTCAACAGTAGATGTTTCACGAACATTGTTGAATATGTAATGGGGTAGATCAATAATAACCTCACGTTCCGCAATGGTATATAATAGTTGGGCCGTATCGTATCCAATCTCAACAATATGCCCCCTCAGATGTATATTACAGGCAACAATTCGGTTTATCATCCTATACGTTGGAGTAAGGTCAATGTGGGCAATTTTGCTTTTCTCATTCTCCCAAGAGACACTCCCAATACAAATACGTTGAATAACCGTCGCCATTTCAGGAGCCTGCTCCTTACTTGAATATAGAAAGACAATAAAATTCTCAAGAATGTCTGGTCTATCAATTTTTAATATATTTGAAATAAGATCAGGTGAAATAGTGATGGATTTCTTCATAACCAGTGTCTTAAATGTCAGCTCATTCTCATTGTACTCATGAACATTTGCATAAAAAAACTTAACCAGTTCAACATATGTTTTATCATCCACATTCACATCACACAAAGGTTCCCATTTTCGAGCCCGAAGTATTTCAAGGGAATCCACCCTCCCTACTAGCTCATCAAGGTAAACACCACGCTCAATTAACAGAGGACGTTTAACAATGAATGAATCATACCTCTTCTTAGCATCTTTATCCATAAAGAGTTTGGCAATCTCAGAACTCCCCCCGCTAACCACCTTATTCCGTTTCTTCGCCTCTCCGCCCGACATCACCACAACTCCAAATGTGGTTCTTTCACTCTTCTTCAACAAAGATTCACAACGAACATTCACAATGCAAATTTTCACTCTTCTCTGAATGAAGATTGAAAATGGAGATTGACAATGGAAATAGTTTGTGTACCCAATCAATCGATGAAAGAGATTTGGGGTGGTGGACGATTTAGGGTTTATGAAATTGGGAGATTTTGAATGGGTTTTGTAGGATTTGGAATGGATTTTCAATGAATTTTGTAGGATTTTTAATGGGTTTGAAATGGCTATTGTCGGATTTGGAAGGGATTTTGAATGAGAATGGAAGACACGAGCAATTTAGGGATAATTTTGTGGGATTTGGGAATTTATTTGGGTAAGCCGATGTTTATTTACTACAAAGCCCCCCTTACAACACTTAAATTTATTACTCTTTGTGGGCATTTAAATAAATACATCAACTTTTGATTTATCCTATTTATTTTTTATTGATCACAATCCCACTTGCTCCTTAAACTTCTCCAACAGTGACTCCTTGATCGATCATTATACATAATTGATCGATCGTCATCCCACTGCCACCATAACCTTCTCCATCACTAACGCCATGATCGATCAATATACATAATTGATCGATCGCAATCCCACTGGCACCATAACCTTCTCATCAGTAACTCAATGATCGATCAATTATACACAATTGATCAATCGCAATCCCACTGCCACCATAACCTTCTCCATCACTAACGGCATGATCGATCATCATACATACTTGATCTATCGCAATCCCACTTCCCCTTTAACTTCTCTATCAGTAACTCTATGATCGATCAATATACATAATTGATTGATTGCAATACCACTGGCCCAATAAACTTCTCTATCAGTAATTCCATGATCGATCATTATACATACTTGATCGATCGCAATCCCACTTCCCCTTCAACTTTTCCATCAGTAACTTCATGATCGATCATCATACATAATTGATCGATCGTAATACCACTTCCCCTTCAACTTCTCCATCATTACCTCCATGATCGATTATCATACATAATTGATCGATAACAATCCCACTGAATATCAACATTTCTCAATCTTGTTGTAATTATACCATTAATTTTGTACTTTTACCTAGTAATATCGTTAACATCACAGTTTTTTACAAAAAACACCTAATTGAGCCACTATGGTTGATCATTCATATTTGTGATCGGTCAAATTATATATTTATTTATTTCCAAAATTTCATTTTCTTACGCAACACCTTTCCACATAATGATCCATCATACATTTATTTGATCGATCATATATTATATTGATCGATTATCCATTACATTGACTCTGAGTCGTAAATTTTTTCACTTTTGTTGTAAATATACCTTTACTTTTGTACCTATCTTATTCCTTTTTTACATTTCTTACTGATGTCATAAATACACCATTGTCATTTACTTGGTTTCACTCACTTTGTAAGAATATCATTATTTTTGTTATTGTACTCATTATTGTTATAAATTTGGCATGTAATATTATAAATATTTCATATAACTCACTCATTCCTGTGGTAACCGGTTGTCATCTAATTGCTTTATTTTTACTTTACACGTGTCAATTTGTGCATCATTTTACGGTGACAGAATCAACTTTTATCCCCCCCTTGATGTTTATTATGGTACCGAAATTCTCAATAGATATACCGTAGGCCAGTCCTAAAGTTGAACAACCGAAACAATGGTCCTTAGACGTACTGTTAGCCTCCTTTTAACTTAGATTATTCGTCGGTGAAATTTGACAAGAAAAGATGTGACTAGTTTATATTCTTTTGAATTCATGGGTAGAAGAGATAGACATTTGAAGAGATTTTGATGTTTATTGCTGAGCTAGCCGTATACAAGTAATCCTAGAATGGTGGTTTTTTGGAATTGAGATCTTGTCACATCGACTACCTTGGATGTTGTGGGGGGTGGAATAATATGCCAATTTCTATATGTAGGGTGCTCCAATAAAAAAAATAATATATAACTCAAATTTATAACCTAAATTTATATTTTGAATAAAGAAAATTTATTGGATGAATGAGCCTATCAACTTTTTTAATTAGGATCTTGATCCAATGTTCCTCCTTCATTTGGAATGCAAATTTGAGTTACATAATATTGTTCAATACAATATGATATGTTTGAATCGTCGGTTAAAAGAAGATAATTCAAGTAGGATAGGATAAAAAAATATGCAGAATTCATATATCTCACGTTTAAAAATAAAAAATACATCAAAAATTTTATTCCGACTTTATTCCAACAAAATTTGAAAAGTCAACTTTAATCACAATGTTATTACACAAAACTAACATTTACGTTGATAATTTATTCGTAGCCATTACACCGTGTAATAAATGAGGGAATGCCAAAAAAAATAAATTTATTATAGTAAATAATAATCAATGTTTAGATTTTTTTTTATGCCAAACTATTTTTTATGTTTGTAGGAATTTATTTCTAAATTTTGAATTTTATGATCCAAATTAATTTTTTATTATTAAAATATATAAAAAAATGATATTAACAATTACTAGTTCAATTATTGTTGTTTTTGTTTGGTCCTCCTCAAGCAAATTCTTATTAATTCTATATTATTTGATTATTATTTTTTATTCTATATTTTGATCAAATCTAATATTATTACACCAAATAGAACCCATTCATTTGTAAGAATAGCTAGTTATTTATGTGTGATGGTCAATACACTTGAGATTTTGGAAATTTTTAATACTTTTGATGGATTACACTTCCGTACATTCATCTTTTTCTTCTTTTTAATTTTGTTTTATTTTTGACATTTATCATATTTGTAATTTTTTGTATTATTATTGTGATATAGAAGAAAAGTGGTAAAAACACCTATAAATGTAATAAATTACCCATAATAATAATAATTTTTTTGTATCTAAAAAATAATAAAAATATTGCCACAACTGTAATAAAAATATATACAACAATTGTAAAAATATACACTATAGTGATAAATTACCAACAAAAAAAAATAATTTTTTTGATGATGAAATGACCTATAATAATAATAAAAATATTCATTAAATTAATAAATTTTAAAATTACGATACCGATAAAAAAAAATTTGAATACCATAATCAAGTACCTAATTCGAGTTGTCAATTTAATGGGCTAGAGCTGCCACTGAAGCTAGTTTCATGCTTTTGCTTTAATCGAAGTTACGGGTTTCAACATGTAGTGAATTCAATAATTGTTGTTGGGTAAACGGCAACTTGAGCCGCCAGTTGCCAGTTATTATTGAACCAACTAAATTTATTATTAAATAAAAATTATTTACAATTCATTTAAAGTTCCAGTACAAATTTGTATTTTGACATTTTTTTTATATTAATTGTTATTCACGTGCGGTGCGTTGCATGTATACGTATTTTATATAAAACATTATTGATCTCGTTTCTTCTAAAACAATTCACAACTTTAATAAACATTATCAATTAAATGTACAATGTTCATATTCTATTAGAATACCCCTCTCCTTCGACAAAAAAAATGTTAAAATAATTAAATTGACTTAAAAGACAAACAATATAATAAAATATAAAATATAGTCAATATTTATTTATAATTATTATGGACAATACTTTATCAGCAAATGGGTCTTAATAGAATATTAGGATTAGAAAATAAATACCACCATTAAAATATTTGGGCTAATTAGAGGTAAAATTGTTGGTTTTATATGTTTAATCTACTTCTATACAGAAGAAAGATTATCGCCTCCTATTGTGTATAACTTTCTATGTTCTCCTTATTGAATATATGACAATAACTATTAACCTATTATATTTAATTATTCTAAAGTTATAGAAAGTTTATGATTAACTTTATATTATTAATTAAGGATAAGATTAAAAATTAAAAAAACTTTCTATATGTCTAGACACGAATTATAAAAGGTCGGGTCTATTTGTTTATATGCTTGACCAGTATTAACATGAATATCAAATAAAAAAGAGAGAAATAGCTAAGTGTACGTCTCAATTCAAAAACCATTTACCTACATGTTTTTGTTACTGCAACTACGATCTTTGATTTCATTTGTGCTCTATATTAGATAATGCTCTTAGCCCTTACATAAATGAAGTCAATCACATTTTAAACATACATGCATATATAAAAGATAGATCATACTGTGGAGATTAAACCATACGACTATGGAAAAAAGACCCGTTCACCTTGTCTATCATTCTGTTAAAAAAACTAAATATTAATGTTTAATTGGAAGGTCCCTAGTTAATATCTAATACATTGGTCAATTCATAGAGTCTATATTGGTTTGTGGTGTGAAAGAATGAAGGATATAAAAGAGGTAAAATTGGTTAAAAATTAATTTTTAAAATTTTAAGAGTCTATAAAGTGTACCCTTGAGACTAAACGTGTCAAAATATGACACAATGTTTTAACACGATATTAAATTAAAATGTTTGAGTCTTTATTAAGTCACTCGTTTTTTAAAGAATAGACTCAACACGACTCGACACGATTAATAAACAAATCGAGTATGAGTGAATCTAATCAACTAGTCGGTCGACTAGTTTAGTGGGTGTTCTGTATTTTAGGTTAAAGACAATATATCAAACCATAATCGATTTACCCAATAACTTACCGACTTGAATGGGACTATATGTCAATGAAACTTTAGCTTTAACCTGGCAAAAGAAGTAGCAAAATTAAACTAACTTACAAAAACTCAATGTGATCTGATGCGATAGAATGGTAATGTCCATTGTCAGATCTCAATTGCACTAAGAAATCTGTCACGTGACTCAGAATTTTCTCTTACATATCCAAACTCGATTAATGTTTTATCTATTTACAGCCCCACCACAGAGACAAACAAACATATCCCCAACCCCAACAACCATCCCTCGCAAAATCAGTGGACTCACATCAGATAATTCACGATCCCAATTAGTCTACCTGGGCCCCATACCCATACGGTCAACATTCATCTGATATTCACCCTTCACTTACAAGTGAGTGAACACCATCAAAATGATGCT